TGGCTGCAATTGGTTAGTTTTTTTTTTTTTTTTTTTGGGATTTTCCACCTTGTCTATTTATTATCGTTAGTTATCAAATTTATGGATAGAGAATTGAAGGTTAGATGTTCAAACCAAATGTAAACACAAAATTGGCAATGCCAAACCAACATTCATCTCTTCCTTTGTTTTGATTTTTGTTTTAGATTTCACCTTATTTTGTTATTAGCAATTAGAAACAGAAAAATTAGACTGACATTTTACGTTTATTTTGGTTCCCAGGTACAAGAATTCCACGAAAGTTCTGGCAGAAGGAAAACCAGCAAATATTTTTCTAAAGATAAACAAAATGTGAAATATGAGATGGAAGTTGAGGAGGTTTCTGTTAAGTGATAGAATCCCACATCGAATAAAGATAAAAAATATAGATCAATTTATAAAGGGTTTGGGCTACTCCTCTTAATAAGGTTGACATTTTAAGATGGAACCCCAAATCTTAACATGGTATCAGAGCCCATTAAACTCTAACGAGCAATTCGATCCGATCAAGACTCCAAAAGTGAGCATACGAATTTCAAGATTGGTATGCTCAAACGAGCCACCATTTTGAGGGGGCATGTTAAGGGATAGAATCGCATATCGAATAAAGAAGAAAAACATAGACCAATTTATAAAGGGTTTGGGCTACTCCTCTTAATAAGGTTGACCTTTTAAGATGGAACCCCAAATCTTAACAGTTTCAACAAAAAGAAAGGCCCAAAGGGGTAGTGAAGAGTCAGACAGTGATGTCAAACCCCCACCTGGGAAAGAAGTTCACAAAGTCGAGGATGACGATGATGATGAAGATTTTGTCATGCCTTCTAGGAGGGTATCAATTGATGCCACCCGGAGCAAGAAATTGAAAAGTGGGGTGGGTAAGGGAGTTGCTCAAAAGCTTACGGATGAAAGTGATGAAGATGACACTGGAAAAGCAAAATCTAATCTCAAACCTATTGGTACGACTAGTGGAGGGAAAAATGCTTCAACCAGTCTAACTACTACCACAGACATGGATGCTGATAGAAGTGATAAATAGGATGTTGATGCTAAAACCAAAGATTTAGCACAAAAATCATGCAGATTGATCAAAGTGAGGATGAAGACTAAAAAAAATCCCAGGCGTTAAGAACTTTCGCGACAAAGGTCTATTACCCATTTCAATAACGAAGCTTTCAGGCTCATCTGGAGGTATACCTTCTAAATGAGACTTCCATTTGTACAATAATTTTCAAGAATTCGGGAACTCCATTAAGGAAATGGACCAGAAGTCGAAATTTTGCTAAAGGGACTGAAGAGTCGAAAAATTTGTTTATGAAGCCAATTGCATTTTCGGATGCTATAAACATTGAGTTAGATGATGATGCAGAATACGATTAACTCACGAGTGTGAATGACGATATTTTTGAGACGTTTGATGCAAGCCGGATGAATTTAAGAGGTTGCGGAATAAGGAAGATAAGAGTGGTGTGAGAATGATGAGGGTTGATGGCAAAGAAGAATGTGGAGGAGGTGGGTTAGGGAGTGTTCAAGAAGTTAACGTGGCGGGAAAAGTAAAGCCAAAAGTTCCATTTCATATTTCAATTATTATGAAGCCACAAGATTAGTATAAGATCATCGTAAACAATTCAAATTGGTCGTATGAGCATGTCTGGTTGCAGAGGAGTAAGGATAGGTCTAGATTCATACATCCCTTGGTTAGTATTAGATTTTTCCTTTCTAAATGGTTCCCTCATGCATTTATTTGGTTGTAGAATGATCAGAATTAGGAATTTTCTTGATAATATGAACAATTAGATTACGAATGTGCTATGATGTATATTTTCGGAATTTTATTGTGTGGTGAATGATGGCAGGTGGATGGCTATTACCAAGTTTGATTTTTTTTAGAAAATATGTTTAAATTGTGGCACCTTGTTAAACAAGGTTGATATTGTGCATATTCATGTAACTA